ACATGAATAGAGATAAATTAAATGTAAAACACAACTATACTTGCTACATGAATAGAGATAAATTAAATGTAAGACACAACTATACTTGCTACATGAATAGAGATAAATTAAATGTAAGACACAACTATACTTGCTACATGAATAGAAAAGATAAATTAAATGTAAGACACAACAATACTTGCTACATGAATAGAAAAGATAAATTAAATGTAAAACACAACTAATACTTGCTACATGAATAGAAAAGATAAATTAAATGTAAAACACAACTATACTTGCTATATGAATACAGGTAAATTAAATATAAAACACAACTATACTTGCTATATGAATACAGGTAAATTAAATATAAAACACAACTATACTTGCTATATGAATACAGGTAAATTAAATATAAAACACAACTATACTTGCTATATGAATACAGGTAAATTAAATATAAAACATAACTATACTTGCTATATGAATACAAATAAAGGTGAGACAACTGAAATAACTATTTTTCCTACTATTCTGAACAAAAGTTACAATAATCAACTTAATCTTTACTACTCCATATATGTAAGAAAGGTTATATCTGTCATTTACCGAAACTTACCGTAAGAAAGGTATATATAACGCTATCAATCATTTACCCAAATTTCTTCAAATAGGAACTAACCATGAGAAGGGAAAAACATTATGCAGGGTAAACAAGATTATAAACACCGTTAATACAACTTACCCTTACTGCTCCATACACAAGGAGGAAAGTTATAACACCAGTGCAGAATGTAACAGCCAGAGCAACAAAGACCTCCTCTGTAAGAAGTTACAAAACACAATCAGATATTTAAACCTAACATAATGATCAAAAAGTAATGTTAAAACTGGTAGTTTTAAATAACCACACCAAAACATGTTGTACCTCCACAATGCTATGATAAACTACTTATAAGAGAAAACTTTTTTCTAGTTTGATTTTGTGGGACATTTCGGGCAGATGCTATTCATTGGGCAATACAGACCGTGTTACAGTGGAATTTCTGAGCCTAATTATATTGTACCACAAGAAAGGACATCTGTTCAAAATGTTGCAGAAAATAAAACAAGAAAAAGTTTTCATTTAGATATGCAAATTTATTTATTTTTATTAACTTTCATCCAAGTTTTTCTTCTCACATGTTGCGGAAAAACACTCATTCCAGTACTTAAGAGTGCTCTGTTACTTTTATTTGATATTCATGACACTACCATACTTGTAACTTAAACTAGATGACACCCGTAAACAGTTTAAGTACACACCCACCTGCATGTATTAAAACAATAAAATCCTACAATTAAACATACACTGAAAATCACACCTGCTGGGCAACAGTTCTGTTCAATACAATGCCTACATGTTAGAGAAAACAAATATGTGGCTTTATGCTAACATCTGGTCTATGTAATTTGATTTACAGTAGGATGTTCTACAGTAAACCTGTAAGATGTTAAAAGTTAACTTAGGACGTGTTTCTGTACAACATGTATAAAGTAGATTAGTGACCTGCAGATGTTCAATATAATATCTAGCTCCTAGAATTATGAACTCCATGACTTGCTAAGGTAGTTGAATAGGTATATTTATTTTTATTCTTGAAAGAATGCTACAGAGTTATCTGTTTAATAGGGCAAAAGTAAATACACTAATACACACTGATCCCAGCCAAGTACTTACGTGGGTCCCAACGTTTGACTTTGAAAAACTCAGCAGCAGGTCCAGCACTGAAGTCTGGAAGTTCTGGGAGCTGGGCAGTAGAATCAGAGTCGTACAAAAGTGGAACTTCTGTGTTTGTTGTCACATTGATCTCCTTGTCAATATTAGAGACATTCCACTGGTCAAATCTGCTGCAAATCAGGTTTGGATGAAAAGCCACACTGACCAGGACAGCAAATGCCAAGAAATGCAGCATCTACGAAAGAAAACTATACTAAATAAAGTGTATCTAAGTATAGCTTGGAATACACAACAATATGTGAGTTCTAAACAGGAACAAAATCTAAGCATAGCTTGGAATACACAACAATACACGAGTTCTAAACTGGAACACAATCTAAGTATAGCTTGGAATACAACAATACACGAGTTCTAAACTGGAACACAATCTAAGTATAGCTTGGAATACACAACAATACACAAGTTCTAAACAGGAACATAACCTACCACTAATTGTAGATCAAGAAAATTAAATTGCCAAATACAAAATGTATATTACCTAAGTTTTCTATAAAACTTGCTTATTTGTGGAAGGTAATTTAATACCAGTCTCTACATTGGTAAACAGAATACAAGCTTATTTAAATCACCTTCCATGAATTGTGATAATTAATAAACTGTTAGATATTTATCAGAAACTACCAGTCTCTACATTGGTAAACAGAATACAAGCTTATGTTTCTTTTAATCTTACAGTTTCTTTTTTCATTTGCATAACCTATAGAACTTCCTATATAAATAGTAAAAAGGTTTTTTCACTCCAACTTTGTACTTTTTATTTACTCTGTCCTAACACTAACTGCATCAAAATCATTTGTAGTAATAAAAGGTGAAAAAACATGAAATAAAATCAAAGTACCTTTTCTTTTTTCTCGAGAATGACTGCAGATTGAAACAGACAATTACATAGCCTAAACAGCTTCACTCTCCTTTCATTTAATTTTATTGTTGTATTGCTTTTTGAACAATGTCTACTAATGTAATAATAAACTGGTTTAAAAATTACATTCTAAACACATCAGCTCTCCTGGGAAACTATTGGCTTTGACCGATAAAACAAAACTAAAAATCAATTGTTTATAGTTTAGAATTTGCTTTTTCTATTAGCCATAAAAATATCAAACAATAATGTCAGAAAGGGTTAAGAAAATTCTTAAAAGATTGAGGATATGGGAGGTGCATGTTAATGTGGGTTGAACAAATATAGTTATATCTCAAAATATGGATAAAGTTATTTTTTCGGTTGTTTACGAGCAAAATCTTTACAGCTAGCAGAAATGAACATTTTCATTCACAGTGATTCTAAAATAATTCTGAGTCAACATTACTAATATACAGTTTAAATTAACATATAAAATTGAACTTAAAATTTTTGTCTCAAAAAACATTTATAAATTAGCCACAAAAACATGGAAAGCCAAAAAAGGATCCTGTCTTTGGGTTTAAGGTACACAAATTCAGTGTTAACTTGTTTTATTTATTAGACACATACATACTTAGCCATAGTAAAAACTTAGTATTTTTGGATATTCTTCATGTAGCCTAAATTTAAAGTACTAAACATAAAAATTAAGAATTACATCAACCTTATTTGTAAAGTAAAACTTTTGATAGTTATAACATTATTTTAGAAAGTTTGAAAACCATATTGATACAACAGCGGAAGTCAAGTGACGCTGGGAACCCCGCGAATGTCCGAGTGTTTGCTAGATGCTATCTTTTTTTAGTATATAAACCTGGCAAGAAAAACCAGTGTAAGGGCAGAGATAGAGAGATTGAAGAGATAGATAATTGAGTCAAATGAACTGTAGGCACCGTAAGTAAAGTGTGTGAATTGCTGTGATTTATAGTGTGTTATAAAAGTTGTTAAGTATAAAGTGACTGTGGAAATTCTGTATATTACTAAAACTTGTATTGAGAAAGAATAAACTAGTTTAATGAAGAAAGGACTTGTATCGCTGAAGTTCCTCGAAAATGAACAAACAAGCAGATACGTAACAAATTGGTGTCAGAGAGTGGGACGGAAAAGAAAAAAAACAGATGGAAAAGGGAAGTGGCAAATCAAACTACAGCTTAGCAGATTTGATGGCAGCAATACAAGAACACAAAAGAAACAAGAATAATGAGAAACGAAACAAAAAGAGAGACAACAAAATAAACAAGAGAGATTACAGCAGTTGTTGGAGGAAAAAGAAAAGAAACAAAAAGAGAGACTACAGCAGTGGTTGGAGGAGAAGGAAAGAAGAAGATACTTCTACTATAATATAACACTGTAACCAAGTTTTCATAATCTTTAACATGAAAGAAGATACAATCTACTATAATATAACACTGTAACCAAGTTTTCAGAATCTTTACATGGAAGAAGATACTTCCACTATAATATAACACTGTAACCTAGTTTTCAATATCTTTACCTGGATAACACAGTAACCAAGTTTTCAGTATCTTAACATGGAAGGTACTTCCACTATAATATAACACTGTAACCAAGTTTTCAGTACCTTTACATGAAAGAAGGTACTTCCACTATAATATAACACTGTAACCAAGTTTTCAGTACCTTTACATGAAAGAAGGTACTTCCACTATAATATAACACTGTAACCAAGTTTTCAGTATTTTTATATGAAAGAAGGTACTTCTACTATAATAACAGAGAACTTCAGATTAACCAATGTTAACCAAACAGTTCTAAAGACCTAAGTTAGTCACAGTTAAAATAACATTATTATATTCTGTATATGATTAGCTCTGTCAGGTTATAATAAACAAATTTCAATTCTTATATCTTTATTTCTAGTAACATGTATCATATAAAAGTTTTAAAATAATTTTAATAATTTATGATCATATTTAGAAAAAAACTTGCATCTTTTATGCATAAATAACATGCTTGTTCCCAAATGTTTTTTAAATAAATAGTTTATCAATAATTTTGTCCATCAACAGTAGAAAACTTACTTCTCACCAGAATTCTAACTTCTAAACAATGAAAATTTGATTCTGTAACAAGTGTATATCTAAGTGTTGCAGGTGTCCTAAACAATGTTAACTTTGATTGAAACAAACCTCTGACTAAGATAAATCTGAACATTACGCTAGTGTCAAATACAGGTCAGAATGATTCTGTGGTTTAAATGAATAATTGATTGAATATCAAATTATATTTAATACTTAAATACTTTCAAATTAAACAAAATAATATACAGTGTATTACTGTCACCATCAGTGTGTGTATTGTAGTGTACTCTCTAATTATATCAAACAATACACTAAGTGTCACCATCAGTGTGTGTATTGTAGTGTACTCTCTAATTATATCAAACAATACATTAAGTGTCACCACCAGTGTGTATAATGTAGTGTACTCTCTAATTATATCAAACAATACATTAAGTGTCACCATCAGAGTGTGTGTGTGTGTATTTTCTTGTACTTTCAAATGACAAATCTTAATCATGTTTTCACACAATGACATGAATTTATAATGAATTGTACTAGAATTTATGTACTTAGTCTTCAAATTGTATTTAGATTAATACAATGTAGGCTTAGTCTTTAGATTCTGTCCAAACTAAACTAAACACCTTTTATTACATATTCTGTACAATTTGTGTAGTTCTTTCTATTACATTTTCTTCAGAATAACAGAAAATAATAACTCTATTTTCCAACTTAAATACATACAGATAAAAGAAAAGAACATGTCTTAAAATATAATTTTTTGGTGTAGACAACAGAAACAACATGCAAGTATTGTATGATGGTTTACATGAGTAAGAAATAATGATTGCTAGATCTGTAGATATATGGTCTCTTTCTTTTGGACATTCCAAAAAGTATACAAGTTCGACCATTTTTACTTTGGAAACAGTAGTTTAATACAGTTACTTATTTGATGATAGACTTGTAATGAAACTATCTTCAGAGAAAAAAAAAAGTAATGGATGGATTTTAAATAGTAGCATGTTTTTTAGTTTGTTATTAGTTACTATAACAAATGATAAAAAAACCAGGTCCAACACACACGTTTAACCACAAGATATATCACTGTAAATGTTAAAAAGTTTCAATATTTACAGTATGACATAAATTATATACTTACTAAATGCCATATGCCAAGGACAATGGTTCCAGTACGAACGTGACAACAGAAACAGCATCGAAAATTCTTTGGATTATCAGGTACTTGTGGTGGTTTCAACCTCATGTCTAATATAAGGGAATGTTCCTGTAACAAACATTACACAAATATATATGATGGACTAATTACAAATGTTAAAATAAGGAACAAGATAAAAGGACATCTGGCTCACTCAGGCCACATTTCCACCTACCAAACTAAAGCAACTAGTCCTAAATAATTGTAGCCTGTGAATCTCTTCATCTATCCAAAAAGTGTTTATCCAATACCATATCAAAAAACCATTATCTGAAAATTGTGAAAACAATTTTTCTGTTGTACATCAGAATACCAAAGCCAATTTGTTATTACTTTGTACATCATAAAAAAAATGAAACAAGTCTTTAAAGTTATAACTGTATCCATATGTAATTTATTCCACAAATGGCAACTAATTTAGATTCTTCCCTTCTATTAAGCCACCATATTATGAAGTTTTTGTTTACAATACACATTTTGGCTTTCAATTTCAGTCTTGTGAAAATAAATTCAGAGGTGTAGTGTAATGATCCAGTTGGGGAGTTAAATAAGTTCAAATATTTGGTAGCTGAGGTCACGGTAGAACCTTTCTTCCTGAACACTAGTATGAGCCAGGATTCAAGATGGTCAAGTTACACAAACAACGGCTAGAGGAGCGGACAACTAAACCAAGATGGTCAAGTTACACAAACAACGGCTAGATGAGCGAACAACTAAACCAAGATGGTCAAGTTACACAAACCATGGCTAGAGGAGCGGACAAATAAACCAAGGTGGTCAAGTTACACAAACAACAGCTAGAGGAGCGAACAACTAAACCAAGATGGTCAAGTCACACAAATGACGGCTAGAGGAGCGGACAACTAAACCAAGATGGTCAAGTTACACAAACGACGGCTAGAGGAGCGGACAACTAAACCAAGATGGTCAAGTTACACAAACGGTTTAGTTGTCCGCTCCTCTAGCCGTCAAGATGGTCAAGTTACACAAACAACGGCTAGAGGAGCGGACAACTAAACCAAGATGGTCAAGTTACACAAACAACGGCTAGAGGAGCGGACAACTAAACCAAGATGGTCAAGTTACACAAACAACGGCTACAAGATCAGACAACTAAACCAAGATGGTCAAGTTACACAAACAACGGCTACAAGATCAGACAACTAAACCAAGATGGTCAAGTTACACAAACAACGACTACAGAAGCAGACAACTAAACCAAGATGGTTAAGTTACACAAACCATGGCTACAGGAGCAGACAACTAAACCAAGATGGTCAAGTTACACAAACAACGGCTACAGGAGCAGACAACTAAACCAAGATGGTCAAGTTACACAAACAACGGCTACAGGAGCAGACAACTAAACCAAGATGGTCAAGTTACACATACAGCCAGTTCTTGGAATCATATAAATCCCTTTCATCTAAAGTAAAGTAACAATACAACACACTAAATGTAATTTTGACTAGTTATGAGGGAAATTTTGGATAATTCCTCAGTAAAATACTGTTATGACAGCGGAAGTCAAGTGACGCTGGTAACATGTCATGAGTTTCTAGAAGGATCATGACTATTCCTGGCAACTCTAGTGTTTGCCAGATGACCTCTGTTTTGTATATAAGCCCAGCAAATAAAGCGGAGATATTGTTGTAGATAGGGAGATATAAAGACAGATAATCAAGTCAAGTGAGCAGTAGTGACCGTAAGTAAAGTGCGTGAATCATTGTGAATTATAGTGTGTGTTTAAGTTAAAGTGACTGTGGAAATTAAGTGTATTGCAAAGTTGTATTGAAAAAGAATAAAGTAGTTTTATTTAAGAAAGGACTTGTATTGCTGAAGTTCCTCGGGAATAATTTATTCCGGAAACTAACAAACGACCAGAGACGTAACAATACCATTCATTGTCCCAAAGTAAGAGACAAGCACGTCAATCCACTGAATAAATACAGCAATGACATGGAGTTATGTAAAATATTATTGGAATTTGAATTCATCCCTGCAAATAAGTAAATATTTTGTAATGAAATGTGTGAATGTATTTATAGTAGAAGTGGTGGAAAACAAACAGACCTTAAAAGATTATTGAAATTGATAAATTAAAATGGTTTGCAAAATGTAATTACTATATTAACAATTTCACTGTATAAACTTAATTAAATATATTGCAAAATATTAATACTACACATTAAGAAACTTGAAAATTCGCTAAAATTTTCTAAACTTCAAATTGAAGCAAACAAATTGATTAATTATTCTGCTTAAATTATCAGTTAAGTGCATTCCAAATAATAAAAATTCTTAGATGTATAATAATAGCAGTATTTATTATGAAATAAGAAACATCAAAAGATAATTCAGTATTTGGTGGCTGATGCTGGGATAGACTGGGAAGATAATGATTCTGGTATAATAAAGCATAAATATGAACTAGACAGCATGAGTAGTTGACCAACAGAATTTAATATACCCAAGATAAGGTGACATTTGAAAATATACACAACTTTAAAGAAATGGTTTCATATTTATTAGCTTACAATATGAAGTTATTTATATTTTCACAACTGTTATATTTGCCTAGTGGAGTATATGTTAAACACTTGTAAGTTATATGTAAATTAACACTAAACCCATAAGTAAGTACAATGCTCTGAAGCTTTAAAAAGCATAGTGTATGTTATAAAAAAATATAAAAACGCTTGAAATACTACATGTTGATCATGTTTGAACAAACTGAAGTCTGTGTTAATATTTTGCAAGATTAAAAAAATTAGTATGAAAATTGGAATTGAATTGCAAGCAAAGCCAAATATTTAGATATTATGACAGACTTCTGAAGATTGAACATATGTGAATCGAATTAAGAGCTGATTCTATGAGTTCCATAGCTGTTTTTACACAGGAATGAGACACAAGATTTCAAATATAAATTATAAAGCGTATTTTCATCTAAAAGTAAAACGAAACTTATCAAAATTGTTTTGAAATAATTTTTTTCAATTCAACACAAAAAACTATACCAAAATCGTTTGATGGAATTTTTTTACAGTGTGTATAATGTCAGAAACAAGTTACAAGTGGCTTTGTGAGCTGAAAGTATGTCTGACATAAAACTGAAAACCAAAAACCTACAAAATAAAACATTCAACAATAATACTTGAGATAAGAATAACTACTCTAGCTTAAGCCTAACTCTTAGTCTTACTCCAACTTACGCAAAAGTGACGAAACGTTTCACTCCAATTAAGGTTATCTATATTACAACAAATACAATCACTGCTTTTAACTATTCAGAACACTGACAGGAAATGTACTATAATGCTTATATTAACTTTTACCTGTTCTATTTAAATATTTCTTCTTCTTGATCTCCAAATATATAATCTCAAAACAAAACCACTTTATCTTAAAATTGTGTAATTTTGACTACGTTGCGCATGATCAGAGATTAGATATTGCAGTTGTCAAGGTTGAAATAGAATAATACACACATACTATAAAATATTTATTCTCTCAATAAATAGATAAATAAATATTCAATGCAAGTATTACAAAATATCAAAATTTCAATTTATTTGAGATATACTGTTCTAATGGTTTTTATAGTTGGATGGGTTATTTCTGAATGTCCGACAAAAATCATGTAATTGTAAAGTCAAATATACTGTTGCGTATCTGCTTGTTTGTTAATTTCCGGTAGAAATTATTTCGGAGAAACTTCAGCGATACAAGACCTTTCTTGGTTAAACCATTTCATTCTTCCTCGATATAAACTTTTAGCACACAGTAATTTCAGAATCAGTACGTTTCTCGTCACTTTAAACTTCACTACTTTTATAATACACGCTGTAAATCACAGCGATTCACAATCTCCATAACAAAATACACACTAGATCGAAACAGAATCGTAAATTACCCGGAACTCTCTTCATTTATTCCTTTTCGCAGGCTTTCCCTGCCAGGCTTATATACTAAAGAAGAGGGCGCCTCGAATACACTAGGAAATTCATGATCATTCGAGAAGCTCCTCGCACACGCCACTAGCGCCAATGCGCCAAGAGAGTCACGTGACTTCCGCTGTCGTAACACTGCCTCTTCCTTAGTATTGTTCGTTCCGAACAATAGCCACTAACATTAAACCAATAGATAATTAACAATAACTTAATTAAATGTACAGAATTTACAAACACAAAATTAAAATTCAACGAAGACTCTTAATTTTACGGGACTTATTGTTACGTTTCTGGTCGTTAGTTAATTTCCCGTATAATTTCTTTCCGATGAAACTTTAGCGACACAAGTCCTTTCTTAAATAAAACTAGTTTATTCTTTCTCAATTCAACTTTGCAATACACTTAATTTGCACAGTCAATATAACTTAACTAATTTTATAAAACACGTTATAATTTACAGGGAACAATTCACGCACTTACATACTACCGCGCTCGACTCAATTGTACGTCTCTGTCTGTCTGCAATTCTATCCCCGATTCATTGTCTGGCGCACTTATATACAAAAATAGAGGGCGCCTAGCAAATAATGGATTATTTGTGATGTTCCCCGATATTTCTAGAACTCATTACATGTTACCTGCGTCACGTGACTTCCGCTGTCGTAACAGTATTTTCTTCCGTACTGGTCTCTGTCTTATTGGCTTCTGTTTCACGTGGGATTCATCTGTTCCATCAGGAAATGTCCTATTATTGGTAATAGTCACATCAGTGGTAGTAACTTCATCAAGGGCTTCACTGTTTTTCTTCTCAAAACCGGGTAGAGTTTCTTCTTCTTCGACAGTGGCTTTTTCAGGTGACTCATCTTCAGCAGCATCATTTGTTCCATTGTTCCTTTTGTTCCAAGTGAAATGTTCTGGACCGTGATAATGCCAAAGCCTGTTAGCATGCACCACCTTTGGCTTACCTTGCCGATCAGATTTTATTCGGAAAGTCACGTCTGAGAGGCGATCCACCATGTCATATGGGCCTTCCCATGAAGAAGACATCTTAAGAGACTTCCCTTTGGTCTTCCTGGGATTATACAACCACATCTTGTCTCCTGGTACAAAGCTAACTTCAGTAGACCTCTTATCATAACATAGCTTCATGGAATCAGCAGACGTTTTCAAGTTTGAATGCACTTGATGGTGAATATCATCCATCCTTTCAGATAACACATTTTCAGGCAACTCTTCGTAAGGTGGGCATCCTGTTATCAGACCCACTGCCAACCGAAGTTCTCGACCAAACATCAGCTTTGATGGAGTGTATCCAGTGGCTTCATGCTCTGCTGTTCTAGAGGCCATCAACAGTGGATGGAGTAAGACATCCCAGTCATCTTGATGGCTATTACAAAACTTTGCCAATTCCTGTCCCAGAGTCCAGTTGTACTTTTCTACTATCCCATCAGACTGTGGGTGAAGTGGAGTTGTTCTGGTGTTTCGTATGCCAAACAACTTGCAGCATTCATGGAACACAGCTTATTCAAAGTTACGGCCTTGATCTGAATGCAGTTCGTATGGCATACCAAACATAAAGAAGAAATCACTAATAGCCGAAGCTACAATTGTGGCTTCCTCATTTGGTATTGCATATGCCTCAGGCCACTTGGTGAAATAATCCATCACCACACAAATGTACCTGTTTCCAGCACGAGTTTGAGGCAAAGGACCAGCAATGTCAATGGCTACTCTTTCCATTGGTGCACCAACTTGATATAACTTCATTGGAGCACGTCCCTCATGCTTGGGTCTTCTTTTAGCACAACATGTGCTGGAGGTCCTGCACCATTCTTCAACATCTTGCCTCATACCTATCCAATAAAATATCTGCCGTAGGTGATTCAATGTCTTCTTAACTCTGAGATGTCCTCCAGTTAAACTATCATGGGATTGACGCAGCACAACTTCCCGTAACTTTTTCGGTATAACTGTTTGCCATGTCGTCACCTTCCCATCTGCAGTTTCCCATCTCCAGAAAAGAATACCATATTCAAGCTTCAACTGGTCCCATTGTGCCCAATAGTTCTTTGTCACAGGGCTTAAGCTAGTACCTTCTCCCAAACACGGCACAAAACACTTGCTTGAAGAAAATCAATTATTGGCTCAAATCGTGGTCTTTACCCTGTTCTGCTTTAATACCTATACTTGGTTCCACTTCACCATCATCAACTCGTTCAGTCACTTTGACTTCAGCTTGATGGCACCTGGTTAGTCCAACCTCTCTTTTAACACTTACCGGAATTTGGACTTTGTTGTTCCCAAACGTCATTTTATCAAAGTTAACTAAAAAATTCCTCAACAGTAAGTAGTCTGCCCTAATTTGCATTGGTCTTCAATATCAGCCAAGTATACTTTCTGTCTGTTCTTCATTCCCATGAGCTCAATAGTTACCCACACT